GGTCCCGAGTGGGGGCTGGGGCGGGAGAGGACGACCCGGCGTGGCGAGGCGGCTGCGGGAGCGGAGTGGGCCCTGCCTCCTCTCCCGCGGTCCGTGAGCCGCGGGCGCATGCTTCTGGCCTGTGTGGCGCTTCCCGCGAACAGCTACAACTCCGGACTCCTTCCTGCCCGGGAGTTGAGGACGCGTGCGTCTCCACTTCTGCCCCGGGAACGAAATTGACCTGCGCTCTTCCAAGGCCCTGCTGCTGCACGGACCCGGCTGCGGCGTCCCAGCCTGGCCAGAGCCACCGTGCGTGCATTCACTAGTAGTCACTGACCACGTGGTCTTCACCCCGCTCCTAACCGGATTGCCACTCGCAGCCCACACCCCCATTCGCAGTAGGTGGCTTTTCTGCCTGCTTCAAGAAAACCGAAAGAAAGTTGTCCCGTTTCCCACTGTCAAACCTGTGAACACCCATGCCCTTCCCTGTCGCCCCAGTGTGTAAGGCATCTGACTTGTCACTCCTGTGAAAGAATTCACATACTCGGTAAGTGGACAGAAAGAGGTTTAATCACTTTCCGAAGGAGGAAAGGGGCAGATGCTGAGAGCTCATCGGCCCTTCGGAGGCTAGGGACTTTTAAAGGAAAGGGATTTAGGGTAGGCGACTACCTGCCAGCGTGCCAGACTGTCTTTTTTTTTTTTTTTAACCACCACACCACCTGCCAGCCCCCAGCCTGTCCTTTTCAACATCTAAGTTGTCCGGCTGTTAGCTCTGGGTGGGTCAGCTTCCTGCAGTAAAATCTAGGAGGCCTCCTTTCTTCCCTCCTTCAGGTGGAAATCTTCCTATGATCCCTAGGAATTCCCCATTAGGGCTTGTCCCCTTCCACCAGACTGGCTAAATCGGATTTGACCCTTAGGACCTTCTCCAGCCCTGCCATGGTACTCAAGGCTGTTGGGGTGCCTTGCCTTCCCTCCAGCAGAGCCCAAGATTAGAGACCAACTTCCAGGGGTTGATCCCTGAAAATGCCCAAGGCATGAGGGAACTTTGACTGTGTCTCTCCCATTAAGAAGCTTGGAAGGTATTGAATATGTCTTTTCAACTCCCTCTGGAGTTGAAAAGACCCTGATCTGTACCCTCAACATTTGGTCATTCTGGAACTTTCGTCTGCTCCAGAGCCCTACAGCTACCTGTGCCCCACTCTCCATCGCTGGAGAGGTACCAAGAGCTGCCTGACCCACTTCCTTAGTCTCCCACCTCCACTCACTCTTGGTCTCCACCTGGAGTGATTCTGCGTTTTCTGAAGCCATCAATAACACCTCTGTCTCTATGGACACTTTTCTTACTCACGTTCCCTAATCCCTCAACAAAATTCCTTCTTAAAACACGATCTGTGGTGGGACTGGCAACCCATTCTTATTTTTCACCAGTCTCCTCAACTTGCTCATCTGCTCCGGATGACCTCCTAATGAAGAGGGTTTTTTTGTTGTTTAGGTTTTTGCCATATGATGCTCGTGCTCGTTGGAGAGACAGAGAGGGAAAGTGCAAAATTACCCTCCCCTGGACCAGATGGCCACACAGTCCTTTCAGGATTTTGTCCACACAAATATACATGCCCAATGTGATTTTCAAGCCTTCAGGTCTGGGGCTCGAACCACCGTAGGTCACATGGGAATCCTAACACCCTAACCACCATGCTACCTGCTGGCCCAGATGACAGAGTTTTTAAGGCCTCAGCCCTTTTCTACATTCCCTGTGATTTAATGTGCTAACACCATTTCAGTGGGTACATCTCAAATTTATAAGGTTATTAGGAAAGTCATGACTTAGATTTTTCTTTGCAAAACTGCTTCATGACTCTCAACGACCCAGTGCAACTCTGGTCCTTGTTTCTTTGAGCTCCAAACCCATTTATCTAGCTTCCCATTCAGCTTCTCCACCTGAGTGTGTGAAAAGTCCCTCAAATGGAACACATACAAAATTGAAAGCAAGCTTTCATTGCTTGTTTCCAATTCTGGGTCTCCCTGTGACAGTGAAGGTGGTACCATCTCTCCAGTATTTTCTGAACTCAACTTTGCCCCTGGCATCTAACAAATTCCCAAGATTCTATTTTCCAAATAACTTTCAAGCCTGTCCACTTCCATTTCCACTATTACATATAGGTGTGCTATTGTATATATGTCTTCCTAAACCACACTGTCATGCTACACTGGGAGATTACAGTCAGCCATGGTGGGAATATTTACACCATGGAAATTGGCTAACGTGTATCAGGGCTTGATTTATTGTTGGTTGATTGTCTCTATACTTAAAATGATGGAGAAAATGTTAACAGTTGCAGATTTAACTTAAAAATGTGTTGTGCTTGGCATTGAAACTGAAAAATTGAGATCTAATGAGTAATTTGTACAGGGTGAGAAATAATTTAACAGATCACATGTTAGATTTAATGACAATAAATGTGTTGGGAAAAAAGTGGATTGGGATGCAATTCCATTTTAATTACAAGCACTGCTTGGATTCAGATATAAGCCTTTGGCAAAAGTGAACAAAAGCACTCTGTGGAAATCAACCAATTCTATGGAATGAACAATAGAGAATATTTACATATTTTATTATTTGTAAATTGTGTGGCATACATCTTTTATGTCTGTAACATTTATAATTCACATATGCATGTATGTATGTGTGTACGTCTTTATTTTCCCCAGAAAGCCAGTGATTAAGCAGTTCCCATCACACTACTCACTGACATGGTTAGAATGAGATAGTGCATGATGAAAATAAAATACAGAAAAAACGGATTTGGTTTTATTATTGTCTTTCAATTCTCTATAGACAATATGTCTCCTATTTCCTGCCCCCAGGATAGTTCATTTTTACTGACCCCCTCCCCACTACTCCCTATTGCTTTTACTTTTTTATTTTTTAGACTCACTTATTTATTGTTATTATTATTTTTAATTTGCCCAGAGAGGGAAAGTGAGAAAGCAAGCTGCCTGGTCCGGGACTCAAATTGTGGTTGGCCACAGAGTCCAGTGCTCTAACTACCATGCCATCTGCTGGCCCTACTTTTACTTTTTAAAAGTTCATCTATTTCCTTCATGAGAGTAAGAAAGACAGAGAAAGTTATCTTAAGAAAAAAAAAGGGGGGGGGCTGTATTAGAAGAAGATGAGAGAATCTCCCAGAGTCAGGAAGGAACAGGAAGATTTGAGTAACCTTGTATACTGGAGGCTTTGGACCAGTGGTGCCTCTTCTAGCCTCCACTGTGCCTGGTCTCTTCATTCTAGTCTTTTCTAGCAAACACCCTACTCATGAGAGAAAACAAGGGATACCCCAGCTTGGCCTTATCCCATCTCATTCTGCACAATCTCTGCTGATCAATCCCCTTTAACATGGCTTGATTAATTCATTCCCCCTTGAAAAAGTCCAGATTCCATATCATGACCCTCCACATCTTCCTCAGTCTGGAAATATCTTACCTGACACTTCTGAACTTCCTCAATCTGGGAATATCTGGATTTCCCCACCTGATTCTTCTACTTGAATTCAGTGTCTAGACAGTATGGCTTTCTGCAAATATTGCAGAACCTTCCAGAATCTTATGGCATTTCTTTGCTGAAATGTTGTACCCCACCCCAGTCCTTTCCTGATGAAATTACATCTATCTGAAAACAAATTAATTTATTTTTTCTCATCACCCAACAGAACTACATTTTCTAGCCTCCTTGCGTCTACACAGCATGACTGGGGTCTTTAATAGAAAGGGAAGGGAAGTAATGTGTGTCGCTATCCGGCCAAGGAGGTTGACAGCCTATGTGCCTTGTCAATGTACTCTTTCTTCCTCTCCATTGGATAATGCCAAGGAATGGTGCAACCTCAAATTAAAGATGGAAGACTGGACCCATGACTTGGGTGGCCTGCGTCCTGAATAACTTCATGGAGAAGACTGCATATCTGTGATGTGAATTGAAAAAGAAGCTTTATTGGGGTAAGCCCCTGAGAGTTAGCTTTTATTTAGAGACATTTTTGCTATAGGGAGACAGACAGAAAGCGATAAATCACCCCCTGCCCCCCAGAGGAGATGGCCACACTGTGATCCTTTCTGCATTCTCCTCTTGGGATTTTGGGCCCACGCACACATGCCCCCTGCCTGAGTTTTAAGCTGCGGGGTCTGGGACTCGAGCCACAGTCAACTATGTGGGAGTCCAGCAATGTAGCCATTATGCCAACTGTTGGTGCCTGAGAGTTAGCATCGTTTAAAACAGCATCCTACTAGTCTAACAGTTCACCATCTCTACAGACTTTCTTCAAATCCTACCTCTTTCTGCATTATTGCTATAGAAAATGACCACCCTGCTATCTCTACTTGTTCTGTAGCACTCCATTCATACTATCATTTAACTTCATTAACTTTATACTATCCAGGTTTATTTAACTGTTCTTTCTCCCTTTCTAGATTGTGAATTCCTTGAAGATGGAGTGGAAGGCTTCCTTTCCCACCACACTCTTGAGTCTCTGACAGGTATATTGCGAGGGCATGGCTGCTGTCCGGTGTGCCTGGTGTTCTTGATGAAACTTCTGCTGCCCTGGGGCAGCCAGTGAGACAAAAGCCCGAGAGTCCCCTTACGCTCATCTCAGGCTCAAGGAGAGCTCCAGTCCGCAAGTCCAGGGGTGCTGTGTATACCTGAGAGAGCTGGGCCTTGCCCAACTCCTTAGGGTTCG